TAGATTTTTCTTTTTAAATGCCTATAATTAATTCGTTAAAAATAATATCCCATTTATCGTCACACATTCTGAAAAACAGCTCCATAAATAATTAAATAAAAATTGAAAATTAAAATGATTATTTGAAAGTATATAGCAATGATATAAATTAATTATTATTGAGTAAATTAACTTATCTAATTGGATGTTTAGGTGAAATCATCAACTGAAAAATATCATTAAGAGCTATGATTTGGTGGACCAAAAACTGTAGCGGCAAGAATCAGAGATGACAGGGTTATTAATACATATATAGATTTAAAAGAGTTGTTAAATTTGAATGTAAAATGTATGTAAACATGATGAATAACGTCTTCTTAGTTATCTTTATATCTTCTTCTTGCACAAAGCTTTTCGGAAAGAATGGAGTGGGTACCTGCGAAGGCACTTCAACGCTGAAGTCAGACAAAAAGAATGACGGAACCTTTTTAGTTCAATAATGAAAAATCAATATTTTCTCTCCTCTTCCTGAATTATCAAAAACGTATATTATTTTCTTCTGATTTTTCATATTTAACCTAAAAGTAAAATAAACCGTTTACCTAAAAATCCGGTTGGTTGGAAAACTCAACCGCTTAGTCGTGCTTTTCATCTATGATACTGGGTTAGTTAGTTCCGTGATTTGTGATATCATGGCCAGATATTTCTAACCACTTATTCCTTAGTTTATCCGGGTTAATTGATCCGGTCAGAATAAAGCTGATCGAGCGTCTGTTGACTCTTAGCTTGACTGGGTTGATTTGACCCATGCTGATCGTTTGGTTTAAGTAACGGACGATCGCTATTAAGACGATCGATGTTAAGGGCGACATTGACGAGAGTATGATATGACTATCGTCTCGCTAGCATTATCTTCTATGATATCGTGATCGTTTCGTCTAGGAGGTTGACGATCATTCGAAAGTGATCATTTAAGTACTCGTTAATATTTGGTCTGTTTACTATTAGTAACCGTCCGGATAAAAGCGATCATTCAGTCGCTCGTTCGGTTTACTGTTAACAATAGCTCAACTCAGATATCCTGCGATATATAAAATAATTCCTTGCCTTTTAATTGAAAATAGCACAAGATACAACGGGTTACCTCTATCAATAGTCAGCAAGAGAAAGAATAATCCAGAGAAAGAGAGAAGATTATTCCATGATTGCCTACCTCTCCCCTACCCCTGCTATATAACTAATTCCATTTCCAACTATACCCTTTCAAACGTATTTGGTTTCCTCACACGTTTCCCCTTTCCTTCAACGTCAGCTTCATAAGGTGGTGTCACCTATCCTCTGGTGACACTTTGGGTCCATCATTTTATTTCAATTTATTTCCTACCAATACATGCATCATTACATTTTCCTTATAAAGCACAACAGACTTTGGCTCACACACTCACTCAACCCAAATCCATTTGTTTAATTTCTCTTCTGTTCTCTCATAATTCTCATGGCCTCATCATCATCTTCTTCTTCATCATCTTCTTCTTATCTGAACTTACAAGTGCGAAGGTGCCAACCCCAGCCCTGTGCCTCCTGCTATCCCCACTCCTCATGAATTTTAAGCCACTTTCCGAATTGATGATCAAGATTGTTTGGTGTCCACTTCCCGTGATACACATTTATAAAAAGCAAGCATCAATGGTAGAGAAAGACCCAGTTCAAGTCATTCGCCAAGCACTCTCCCAGACACTTGTCTTTTATTACCCATTTGCGGGTAGGCTTAGAGAGGGGCCTAACCGCAAATTGATGGTGGATTGCACTGGAGAAGGTGCCATGTTCATTGAGGCCGACGCAGAGCGTCACCTTGATCAGTTTGGCGATTTTCTCCACCTCCATTCCCCATGCTCCACCATGAACTGCTATACGATGTCCCTGGCTCACAACAAATTTTACCAACACTCCCCTTCTACTTGTCAGGTTCAATACACTTACTCCATCAATCTCAACATATTTTTTATTCATTTTCTAGATTGCTATATTTTAAAAACTCAATTTCTGATATAATTTAATTTCTGTCAACTAATTTTTGAATTTTGTTTTTAAAACACGAGAATTTAAATGGTACAAACCAACTCAAATGTGCTTTCTCATCTTGACTTTTCGGAAGTAATTGGGAGTCTTACTGTTTCTGATGAGTTAATATTCTTTGACTGGTGCAGCACTTGATATGGTAGTCCATCACTTTGGGTCCATTAATAAAGGAGAAGACACTTGCTCCAGGAACTTAAACACTCACTCAACCCAAATCCATTTGCTTAATTTCTCTTCTGCTATCCGTAATATGTCCCAAATAGTCGATTTGTTCTAATCCAAATGAACACTTTTGACACTTTTGCATACAACACATGATCTTTAAGAATCTGCAAGTCCTGTCGTAAATGATGCAAGTAAGCTGACCAAGATGGACTATAGACCAAAATATCATCAAAGAACACCAAATTGATTTCCTCAATAGCCCTTGAAATATGTCATTCATGAGGTTCTGAAATGTTGCAGGAGCGTTGGTTAACCCAAATGGCATAACTAACCACTTATAATGGCCTTGATGAGTTCGAAAGGTTGTTTTGTATCTATCTTCTTCATTCACCAGAATTTGATGATAACCAGCTCGCAAATCCAGCTTAGAAAAATACTTAGCTCCTAACAATTCATCCAAAAGCTCTTCTGCAGTGGGAATTGGGAAGCTATCCTTCACTGTGATGGCATTCAAGGCCCTATAATCAGTACAAAATCTCCATGTCCCGTCTTTTTTCTTGACCAAAATTATTGGAGAAGAAAAAGGACTTGAACTTGGAGCAATTATCCCTTCATCAAGCATCTCTTTCACCATGATCTCTATTTGTTGTTTCTGACTGTGTGGATATTTATAGGGTCTGACTTTCACTGTATCACTACCATAGATTAAGGGAATTTTATGATCCTGAGATCTTGGAGGAGGCAATCCAACAGGTTTAGCAAACATTCCTCTGTAAGTATATAGTAAGAGTGCTATCTCCGGATCCATATCCTGTAGACAGTTTGGCCACTGGTCTTGGACAGTAAAAGTGGAGCATAGTTGTAGAGTAAATATCTCAGCAATACTCTGAGTGTGGCTCAAGCGCTTCAATTGATTGAATTGTGTTAACCCAATAGGTTTCTGTGTTTCACCAACTAATGTCACCAGCTTTTTATCTTTGTGAAATTTAATGGTCAATGAGCTATAATCAGCAATGTGTGGCCCTAAGGTAGCGAGCCAAGCTGCCCCTAACACCAAATCAGCACCAGAAACTGATAGTAAATACACAGGTAGGCTGAGAATCTGACCCTGTACCTGTACTTGCAACTCAGAAATCTTGCCCTCAATTGATAGGGTGTTGCCATTACCAAGTAACACTTGAAGACCTGAAGCAGGTTCCACTGGTAACTTAAGAAACTTGGCCAGTTTAGGTTGCAAGAAATTATCATTGCTGCCACTGTCAAGCAGTATCTGAACCTATTTTCCTGCAATCCTTCCAGTGAAACTCATTGTACCTGCACTAGCTGATTCTTTTAACGCATTAAAGGATAAATGGTGTGTCAATTCTGCTTCCAGGTTAACCATATCCTCCTCAAGTCCCTGTTGGTCCTTCTCATCCTCCTCCTCATCAAGCTGCATAAGCAAGTACTGTCTATTTGCACAGCGATGCGTGGCAGAGAATTTTTCATTGCAGGTGAAGCATAAGCCTTTTTCTCTTCGATATTGCATTTCAGTAGGAGACATTTTCTTAATAGGACTGTGTCTAAATGGTGCAACATTTGGTTTGGTGTTTGGTGTGGCCAAAATGGGTTGTTGCACAGGATTAGTGTATGATTGATTTGAGGTATTAGTAAGGGTCTGTTATTGGAACTCCCATACAGATATCAGTTTTTGACAGTATATTTTTCTTCAAATAAGTGAGCTAAGGATATAGCTTTTAATATAGAGCTAGGTGCTTGTGCAATAACCTTACGCTTAATGTCAATTTTAAGACCACTTACAAAACAGTCCAAGAGAGCTTCTGCGCTAACACCATAAATACGATTAGCAAGGCTAGTAAATTCCACATAATAATCATTTACTGAGCCTGTTTTTATGAGTTTAAAAAGTGTTGATCTAGATGAATCAAAAGGAGAAGGACCAAATTCCAGTTCGAGTGACCTGACCAGAGTGTTCCAAGAAATGATTGGACTAGTTCTCTGCATCATTTGGTACCACGACACTACATTCTTCTCAAAGTGGACCGCTGCAATCACAATGCTTTGTTCATCTGGAGTCTTATAATACTCGAAGAATTGCTCCGCACAAAAAATCCATTGAAGGACCTCCGAACCGTCGAATTTAGGGAAGTCCAACTTCACATTCTGCACTTGTAAGGGATATGTAAAATCTCTTGAGTTCTGCCCCCACCTTGAAGATTTGCTTTGAAGTGTTCAATTTCATTTCTCAGCTCTGTCATCTTCCGGACATGGTCACGATCACGTTTCTCAAGGATTTCTAGGATTTGGGAAAGCTCAGGTGAAGATCGCAGCCATAATGGAGGTAATGAAAGCACCAATGTAATATATTGAAATAAATGCAACAATAAGAACAAAAAATAATCATCGATAACCGAATGCAACACCAACTAAGGGTCGGTGCTTGCCTTTTAATTGAAAATAGCACAAGATACAACGGGTTACCTCTATCAATAGTCAGCAAGAGAAAGAATAATCCAGAGAAAGAGAGAAGATTATTCCATGATTGCCTACCTCTCCCCTACCCCTGCTATATAACTAATTCCATTTCCAACTATACCCTTTCAAACGTATTTGGTTTCCTCACACGTTTCCCCTTTCCTTCAACGTCAGCTTCATAAGGTGGTGTCACCTATCCTCTGGTGACACTTTGGGTCCATCATTTTATTTCAATTTATTTCCTACCAATACATGCATCATTACATTTTCCTTATAAAGCACAACAGACTTTGGCTCACACACTCACTCAACCCAAATCCATTTGTTTAATTTCTCTTCTGTTCTCTCATAATTCTCATGGCCTCATCATCATCTTCTTCTTCATCATCTTCTTCTTATCTGAACTTTACAGTGCGAAGGTGCCAACCCCAGCTGGTGCCTCCTGCTATCCCCACTCCTCATGAATTTAAGCCACTTTCCGACATTGATGATCAAGATGGTTTGCGTGTCCAACTTCCCGTGATACACATTTATAAAAAGCAAGCATCAATGGTAGAGAAAGACCCAGTTCAAGTCATTCGCCAAGCACTCTCCCAGACACTTGTCTTTTATTACCCATTTGCGGGTAGGCTTAGAGAGGGGCCTAACCGCAAATTGATGGTGGATTGCACTGGAGAAGGTGCCATGTTCATTGAGGCCGACGCAGACGTCACACTTGATCAGTTTGGCGATTTTCTCCAGCCTCCATTCCCATGCTTCCATGAACTGCTATACGATGTCCCTGGCTCACAACAAATTACCAACACTCCCCTTCTACTTGTACAGGTTCAATACACTTACTCATCAATCTCAACATATTTTTTATTCATTTTCTAGATTTCTATATTTTAAAAACTCATTTCTGATATAATTAATTTCTGTCACTAATTTTTGAATTTTGTTTTTAAAACAAGAGAATTTAAATGGTACAAACCAACTCAAATGTGCTTTCTCATCTTGATTTTCGGAAGTATTGGGAGTCTTACTGGTTCTGATAGAGAGAATGGGCTGCTTCGTCCTTCTGTCAATTTTTTTTTCATTGATATGCTCTGATAGCCTATTACAAAGTGAGGTGTATAACACTCGTAATAATTTATCAAACGACGTGAGATGTTCGACAGAAATTTTCACAAGTAGCTTGTTTCTTGTACTTATTCGTGGTCGTAGTTAACTTTAGAAAAAGTTTACCGGAAGCAAAATGTGTAAACTTGTTGAATATGGAATAAAAATGCAGGTGACACGACTCAAGTGCGGTGGTTTCATCTTAGCCATCGGCCTCAACCACACCATGTGCGATGGACCCGGTTACGAACAATTCATGAGCGCGTGGGCGGAAATGGCTAGAGGTGCAACCAAACCTTCCATTGCACCAGTGTGGCGTAGGGAGCTCCTAATGGCAAGAGACCCACCTCGCATTACATGCAACCATCGTGAATTCGAGCAAGTCCAAGATACCCTTCCTTCTTCAGACCAAAACTTGGTTCAACGATCATTCTTCTTTGGACCACTCGATATAGCTGCACTTCGGCGCTTGATTCCCCAACACCTTCAGCACTGCACCACATTTGATCTCATCACAGCATGCCTCTGGCGCTGTCGCACAAAAGCACTGCAAATAGAAGCAGACGAGGATGTTCGCATGATGTGCATAGTCAACGCACGTGGTCGGCTCAATCCACCACTTCCTGTTGGTTACTACGGCAACGGTTTTGCATATCCGGCGGCAGTAACGACTGCAGGGAAGCTTTGCAGAAACCCATTTGGGTATGCGGTGGAGTTGATAAATAAAGCGAAAGGTGAGATGACAGAAGAGTACCTGCAATCTGTTGCAGACCTGATGGTGATGAAGGGACGATGCTTATTCACAACTGTGAGGTCTTATATTGTGTCACATTTGGCACGTTTTAACCTTAGAGAAGTGGATTTTGGTTGGGGTGAGGCTGTGTACTATGGAGTGGCTAAAGCTGGGGTTGGGAGCTTCTTAGGAGTTTCGTTTTTCTGTTCTGCTAAGAATGGAAAAGGAGAAGAAGGCATAATATTTCCAATTTGCTTACCTGCTGAAGCTATGGAAAGGTTTGCTGAAGAGTTTAGCCACATGCTAGGCAACAAAAATCAACCTGAAACCAGTTCTGCTCCTTTTATAAAGTCTACCTTCTAATAATATGTATTTCATGGAATAATTTAGCTTATTTAAGAGATAGAATCTAGACTAGTACGAAGTTATTTAACGTTAGTTGTGCTTATGAATAATGTTAAAGGAGAAATTAACGTTTGTGAAAAAGGTCACCAATGTTAATTTAGACTAAATATTTCTGAAATTTTTACGGTACACTTTTTTAAGATTTGTCTTGCCACATGATATAGAATGTTTGACGATAAAAATCCTTTTTATGAAAAAGTAATTAGATTTTTCTTTTTAAATGCCTATAATTAATTCGTTAAAAATAATATCCCATTTATCGTCACACATTCTGAAAAACAGCTCCATAAATAATTAAATAAAAATTGAAAATTAAAATGATTATTTGAAAGTATATAGCAATGATATAAATTAATTATTATTGAGTAAATTAACTTATCTAATTGGATGTTTAGGTGAAATCATCAACTGAAAAATATCATTAAGAGCTATGATTTGGTGGACCAAAAACTGTAGCGGCAAGAATCAGAGATGACAGGGTTATTAATACATATATAGATTTAAAAGAGTTGTTAAATTTGAATGTAAAATGTATGTAAACATGATGAATAACGTCTTCTTAGTTATCTTTATATCTTCTTCTTGCACAAAGCTTTTCGGAAAGAATGGAGTGGGTACCTGCGAAGGCACTTCAACGCTGAAGTCAGACAAAAAGAATGACGGAACCTTTTTAGTTCAATAATGAAAAATCAATATTTTCTCTCCTCTTCCTGAATTATCAAAAACGTATATTATTTTCTTCTGATTTTTCATATTTAACCTAAAAGTAAAATAAACCGTTTACCTAAAAATCCGGTTGGTTGGAAAACTCAACCGCTTAGTCGTGCTTTTCATCTATGATACTGGGTTAGTTAGTTCCGTGATTTGTGATATCATGGCCAGATATTTCTAACCACTTATTCCTTAGTTTATCCGGGTTAATTGATCCGGTCAGAATAAAGCTGATCGAGCGTCTGTTGACTCTTAGCTTGACTGGGTTGATTTGACCCATGCTGATCGTTTGGTTTAAGTAACGGACGATCGCTATTAAGACGATCGATGTTAAGGGCGACATTGACGAGAGTATGATATGACTATCGTCTCGCTAGCATTATCTTCTATGATATCGTGATCGTTTCGTCTAGGAGGTTGACGATCATTCGAAAGTGATCATTTAAGTACTCGTTAATATTTGGTCTGTTTACTATTAGTAACCGTCCGGATAAAAGCGATCATTCAGTCGCTCGTTCGGTTTACTGTTAACAATAGCTCAACTCAGATATCCTGCGATATATAAAATAATTCAGCACTTTTATGTTATATAAATTTATTCAGCAAACAATCAATTTATCCACTTAAACTTTTTTAATAAAAAAAATATTATGCTACTATCATATTCTTTTTCGTTATATTTCAAATTATATATTCGTCATAGTAAAATGACTCGAGATTTTTTTAATAACAAAAGAATTGGGATTTAAATTTTTACTGATTTCTTATATTATTCCTCTATTAAACATTCAAAATACACATTATACTGATTTTATTATTTAAAAATATTTTAATTCTTTTCACATAATAAAATTGATATATTTTAAACACACAAAAATTATGTTGACTCGAACAATTATTATTGAAGTGACTTCTGTTCTAATATACGCACAATAAAAATTACAATCACAGGGTGAGGTTACGTAAATGGTTTTTGTGTTGGTAATGTCTTGTTTCTGTTGATGCAGATAAATGTGGCCCAGGCTGTCGGATCAACAACTGAAGTACAAATGGTATGTTCAATCCTCTAATTTATTATTTTAGTGTTAAATTTTTGCTCTGATAAAACAAAAATACAGATATTGTTTATTAGGTGTCATTCTTAATTTATCTTGGTATTCATATTTAAATAAATTCTTTTGGAAGATTTTATCTATTTTGAATATTTTTTGTATTTTTTATTTTAAGGAAAAATTGTGACATTTTATTTTAAGTATATTGGTTCATAAAATTCGATTTGTCAAACAAATAAGAGGAAAGAAAAAATATTTTCAGTTGACACAAGATATAATAACTCACCTTGAAATTCATATAACTTTAGAAGATTAATGACTTTACTACAAATGGAAGTAAAAAATGAACACAAACAAGATTAGTGTACCATGAATAGCCTTCAATATTGTTACATTAAGATGTGACAATCATGAGACTTTAGGTCAATAAGCTTCAAGTCCTACCGCGACACTAAACTCTTTAATATTTGAAAAGTACCTTTTTGGTAACTTCACTCTTTTTAGACAAAGACAAAAACTTATTTTCTCCATAGTGTAATATGCATGGGTAAATAAGTAACTTACCAACCTCTCTTGGTGTCGAGTTTTTCAGATCTTAATTTCAACGAAATCCAAATGAGCATTTACTTCATCTCTTATGTACTTCATCTTATGTCTTTTCTTTTCCTGAATGTTAAGTAGTGTATCAATCAACCTATCACACATATTTTTTTTCTACATATATTTTTCTCTACATGCATTACATTTATACAATGTCAAACTTTTAACTTTGATCAATATGAAAAATCAAAGAATATTGATTTTTTTTTCTTTCAAGGGCTTGTTGTAGATGACTTCTTCGGTGTTTTCCAAATACATGATGTACTTTACTTTTTCATAAATTTGAAGGCCAATTAGTGAATTAGTGCATCGTCATTCTCTTGATGTCCATTAAATGTTTTTTTTATCCTTCGATATGAGTGATTTGATTTTAAAAATCTCTATGGTACATATATATTGTCTTCCTTCTATGTTTCAATTGATGAGCTTCAATGTTTTCTTCACATACAGGAAATGACTTTTTACCCGATACTATATCCTGATAAATTATAGCAAGCTAGAAAGTCATTAATGACGCAAAATAAAATAATATATCATGCATCATGAAAGTTTCAGAAGCAAAGACATTAAATATTTCAACCCCAACAACTTCAAGTTGTCAACTAGTAGATTAATATAAATATTTATGTAATTTTCAAGCTCCCTTAGACCAGATATCATCATTAAAACCATGTACTTTCTTTTCATGAATAGTCTAAGAGATAAATTGAAAATGAATAATATAACGGTCAGCTATGTCTGATACATAAATTACCAAATAGATATAGATTCATTTAGTTGATAGCTAAATCAAATCAAGATTTTTACATTCTTAATCGAATAGGAGAAATTTATTATCAATATATTTCTATTAGGTTTAATTAATTCTTTTATTCCTAATTTCGCTATAATGTGCCAAGTTTGATACCTCTTAACAAAATTTTAATTTCGTCCACCTGACATAAAAGTTTCAATTTTATTCACATGTGATATAATTTGTTTTCGTTAAATATACAAAAACGGCTGTTAACGGAAATATTCTCTCTCTTGTGCTTCTTTGTACAAAGCTGTGAGTGCTCTCTCCTCTACACCTTACTGTTGATTCCTTACTTCTCAACTTACTCTGCGGTCCATTTCTAACTTTATCCTACTTGGAATACATGCTTTCTTTTTTCAACGCCTGGTAATATTTAAAGAATAAAACAAAGGTTTTAGTAAAAAATTAAAAGTAAGAATGTTTTGTAGAGAAAAAAAGGAGACGAGTGCCACTTTGCTTCTACCGTGAGGGTATAGACAGCCGACACTTGCATTTTTATTTCTTTCAATTTAAGACGGATTTTTTTTTCCATAAACATGATTCAAAATTAAAAGTTATATTAAATGAAATAAAAAAGATTTAAATTTTTTTATATACATATAATGTTAATATTTTAAAGTAAAGATAATGTCATAATATTTCATATAATTCATGCATAACTCTTTGGTATTAAATTTCTTCTAAACAAAAATCTAAAAAACCATATATAAGGTTTCTACATTAAGAAACTTATTCTCTTCGTCGTCGTCACGTTGTTTATAAACTTTCTATGTTTAAATTTTTATAAATAAAAACACTCCAATATCAATTTTCTCGTTCCAAATATTAAATAAATTAACAATGATAACTTTCACCCTTTTTTTATATCATCTCACATTATTTATATAATATAATTCAGTATATGTGCTTTTTTTCAGGAGTTTGGACTTTGGACTCAAGCAAGAGCAACAACCAAATTAATCACAAAACTAATACTTATTATAGTTACACTGTCAACTGTCAATCAACACACAAACAAATTCATCCCTCAGAATGGGTTAAAAGGAATCAACAGTAAGGGGGAGAAGAGAGAGCACTAACAAAAAATGTCTTACACATAGAGAGAATATTTCAGTTAATATCATTTCTACGTCTTTAAGGCAAAAAACTTAATTAAGAAAAATTATATTAGGTGTGAACGAAATTAAAACTTTTATACTAAATATGGACGAAAATAAAATTTTTTTAAAAAGTATAACCAACTTGACACACTTCAGCAAAAACTAGAAATAAAAAAAATTAACTAAACCTTTCCATTGTATATGAATAAGTTGGATGACGAAATTGTTTGTTAGTTGATGAATTTTTTGACTTAGGTTCTACAACGAAGTAGAGGCATATGGTCTTGGTTATCTGAAACCATAGGTATATATTCTTTTCAGATAAAAGATTTAAATTAATAGAATAACAATTTTAAGATTTTCTTAATGACTTCAATTTTCTAGCATTTAAAGCTATATATCCCTTCTCATATAAAACATTTGAATAAAACGGAATTTTTGGAAATTATAACATACTTTTAAATTTCTATTTTAAAATAATTGAAGTTATATATCTATAAGATCTCATTTATTTGGAAACTAAAATCAAATTTCTTCTTTTAAATAAAATAATTAAAGAAATAACCAAAAATTTGAAAATTTCACATAAGCTTCAATTCTTAGGTAATCGAAGTTGAAAAAAATATATATTTCGGTTCAAATAAAACCGATGTTGTGAAATTTTTAAAATTGTGACTCCAGCTTCATATAATTCGTTTTCTTCGTAACCAAATCATATCACACTTAAAATGTGAAAAATGAAATTCTTGCCTTTAATATTTATAGAAATAATATTAGTAGAGTCCAGTATTGTACAAGAGATAACTTTACACGCA